CATGGCCAGTGACCCCATAAACTGCCCAAGCCACAAAACTGTCACTCACATTCAGAGGGCCTAGCTCAGTGCTATGCAGGCTCCCCAGCTGTCAGTCTAGGGTCAGTGAGCTCCCACTAGCTCGGGTCAGCTGTGTCTGTGGGTATCCCTATCATGTTCTTGACTCCTTGGCTCATATTATTGCTCCTCTCTCTCTTTGACTGGACTCAGGGAACTCAGCCCCCTGCTTAGCTGTGGATCTCTGCATCTGCTTCCATCAGTTGCTGGATGAAGGGTCTATGATGACAGTTAAGGTAGTCATCAATCTGATTACAGGGAAAGGGCAATTAAGGCACTTTCTCCACTATTGGGTAGAATCTAACCAATAGAAGAATCTATTTTCAATTTTAAGAACGACTCAAAGAATAATATCACTACATTTTATAGATGAGGAAATTGAGATACAGAGAGGATGAGAGATTTGTAAAACTTTCCACAGCTATGGTCATGATTATGAACCTGAAGCTCTGTTTGTAAAGTCTGAATACCAGGAACCATACTCACAACGCAGGGAAGCATCTTTGAAGTTGTGTAGACACTTGACTGGCCTCAGAGCACCCAAATTCCACACTCAAATACAGGATTTGGATGTTTTATGGTGAAGGAATTGAATATTGTTTGAGATATTTTTGGCTCATAAGGAAAGATTAATACTTAACCCTGTGGTGTTTTCTTCCCTCTCCTTCTCTCTCCATTCTCTCATTTCCTTTCTCTTTTCCTTTAAAGGACAGGGATATGTATAAGGGGGATTTATTGATTTTGATTTTGTAAATAAAGGAGCCAGTTATTATTTACTGTGGTAAATGTTTGGGGGCCAAAGTGACTGTTGTTACCATGTTCTTTACCCCTCACCTCTTCCATCCCACAATTTCCAATTATTATATATCTTTTATAAATGTCAGGTGCTTCATATGAATCTCTTGTGAACTTTTCCCATAAAGTATTTTGAATAATTAAATTTCAGCCAAAGGCCCCTACTGATAAAGCTACCTACATTTTATTGTTTTTCTAAACTAAAGGGGGTGGGATAGGATTAACAAACCTATCACCCCAAAGGAAAACTACAAGTAGCAAGAACTTCACAACAAATATAAGCCGATGAGAATTTTATTAAAGCAATATTGAACACTACTACATGCCATTATGTTCTGGAAAGGTAGGAGACTGGTTGAAATCATTTTTCTGTTGCGGTTTCCATGTTAAGCTGTTAAGAAAAGTAGAACGTTTATTACTTTAAAAACCAACACAATTATTTTTATTTCACATAACTTTTTACATTTGGTGCGCAAGTTCATTCTTGGCATTTCCTGCTATCATTTGCTACCAAGGAGCAAACATCAGGTGTGGGGGGGCGCAGGGAGGGGAGTCTATAGTTTCATTTTGTATGGAGTTAGGAAAGGAGTTGTAAATGTGTTTCTTGAAAAAAAATGAGAAACTTGAAATATTTTTCTTGAATTTTATTTAATGCCATCACTGTATATTCTTTACGTTTTTGGAATGGAGAGTAGGCCTATTTAAGATTTCAAGTTGCTCAAATGGTACATGTCTTCACATGTGTCCTTTTACTATAGGTCAATCTAATGGACTTGTGTATGTACACACATGTATATGCCCTAATAACACTGCAATTTCTGAATCATAAAACAGAAGAGAGTACAGTTTTTCTGTCGTTTACAGTCAATAAGTCTCCATTAAAATTGAGCAAAATAATTTTCTTAGTTTCACTTTTTCATCAGCTCAAACTTTCACCTCTTCCCAGTGAAGCTCTAGGTCCAGGGCCGACCTAACCTACCTCCAGTCCAGATGTGGCTGGCTCAAGGTCTGAGACCATTCCTTTAGTGTCAAAACAATTCTATTACAATCAGGGAAATGAATTTATTTCAATTCCAGATTTGTCTGTTTTGAAAGGGAACTAGAGGAGAAACCGTTGTAGTGTATAATTACTTGACAAAAGAAAGAAACAGATTTCCCAGTTCTTAGAAAACCCTCTTTTAAGATTATTATCTCTGACCTGCTTAGGAAATAGCCTCTTAGGAACAACTTCAGTTTTAACCAGTCAATCTGTTTTGTGTCATCTTTTGTCTCAATCTTGGAATTAATAAATAAGCTGCTTCTGCCTCAGAGAGTATTGTGTAGAGGAACACTGATAAAATTCTCAGTTCTATTAGCAGTGTCTTAGAACTGTGTTGCCCAATATGGGAGTCTTTTGTCCAGTTTGGGTGCTGAACATTTAAAAAATATAAAATATGGCAGAAACTAAGTTTTAAATTTTATTCCTTTTGAATTCATTTATAAATAAATGTCCCAATATGACTAATGTGTTGAATGGTACAGGTATAAAATGTAATTACCAGTTATCTCTCTCTCTCTCTCTCTGTCTATGTGTGTGAAGCTTGAAACATCACATTGCATTGTAATTCTATGTATCTACATGTTGATTTGGGTAGTATGGCAGGCATTACATTCTTTAATAAATAATAATTACTTACAGATTTTTTAAAATATCTATCCTCAGTATTTGCTCTTAAACATATTTTTGAATATGTGAACTATGAGCATTTTACTAATAATAGCCATTATTTATTGAAACTGAACTCTTCAATATGGCACAAACCCCATATCATAAAACATTCAAGGAAAAAAATACATAGGCACCCAAAAGTAACATTTGTGAGGTACATGTGAGCAATAGATTAGGCTTTTATTGAAATTAGGATGCTATTTAATATGAAAAATTATTGTAAAACCTCAAGTTTTAAAAATTTATTTTATAAACATTGTAATGTGCCTATGACCTCCATGCCATTTGAAGCCATTTCAACTCCAACAGTATTTCATAAATGCTAGCACTAAATGTACACATTTGAGTGGACATATTTGAATGAAAGAAGAGATTTAAAATGCATGCCTGTTAACTTAAAGTAATAAGAAACAAAATGTCTACATACCGGATGCCTTGACATGCCCTGGTACCACTTCATAGGGTTATACACCTTAAGAGAAGGAGACATTAGAATGCAGTTGTTTTAATTTAGTTTCATATAAACTAAATACTAAACTCACTAATACAGTATGAAATATATACTCACTAATGCAGTCCTGTCAGTATTGATAGCCTGAGAATGTGACTTCTACAAAAGAAAGAAGCTAAATACATGTCCAGTGCTCCTATATCAAGTATTATGTTACTAACAGTCCTGCACATTCTGCAAGTTGTTGTCCATGGTCTGGGCAAGTACAATCACCCTCATCTTTTAGAGATAGTCATGAAGAGTTAGAGTCAATTTATATAACACAGCTAGAAAAATGGTAATTCTGTTTAAGCTCCTTGGCTCATGCTTCTCATTGAAATATCAAAACATATTGCTGTAGGTGGTCCCAGGGATGGGTAATTTCAGGACACATTGGTGCCACCAATATCCTCAGGAGATTTCATTTTTCTACTTCCAACTTTTGATCAAAAGACAGCAGACACAGCTCCATGAATCACAATTTCAGACAAATGATCAAAAGAACAACACCCTTTTTTTTTCCTGGAGTGTATCTATACATCCTTTAAGAAAAGGATTCCTAATCCCTAAGAGTTCTTTCTTCCCAGGAAACTTGTCCTCTGTTCTCATTTATGTTCATGGTTCACTACAACCTTTCCCTCAACTAATAAGAGACAAGCAGTATTAAGCCATGGTAACTGATGCCATAGTTGGTGTAAATGAATGGACCTTCTCTCCCTGGGCAGTAGAGAGGACACGTCGCTCTCACGAGCAGATGGAAGGCCATATGTGGGATCAGTTCCAGCTCTGCCAATGAGGAATGAGTTGCAAGCAAGCTGATGAACAGCTTCTAATTGTGACTGCTATGTGCCATAGAATTTTGACTGTATTTCTGCCATAGGATTAACGCCATTTGGGCATCCTTTTCTGTTGATTAGCTATCTTATTTCATCCCTTTCATAGAACTGTAAGGATAGGGAATTACTATTTTTACTATTACATATAGTATAGTACCTAAACTAGTGAGTGCTTGAGAAATATTTAGTCAATTGATTAAAAGTGGCCTAGGCTAATTAAATGTTTTCTTACCTTTCTTATTGCATTTCAGTTTTTTTAAAAATCAACTTATTTGTCTGCATATTGATACCTTCCCAGTAAAGCTATGTTTATACATTCCAGAAAATGATTAAGGGACCTTAAATCATGAAGGTACTGGAATAAAGTTACTGTGGATGCTGTGTAATATAAACCCTGCAAAGACTGTTTACAATTTTGTGTGGGTGTAAGAGGAAAAAATGATTCAAATATAAATATGAGTGGGAAAGAAAACTTCTTTTAAGTCCATTTTATGCATCTGTTAACGTTTTGAAGACCATGCGGTAGACTTCATCAGCTTAAAGATTATGAAGTGAAAGAAATGACTTGTGTATAAAATCACTGCAATTCTCTGTTTGAAGCTCCATTACTAAATTTTTCTTAGGCAAAATGATTATTTTAATAATTTCAAATTCAGTGAATTACTCTACATATAACATAATTTCACTGAAAATATCTTTTTCTGTAAAATGAGTTCAAAAGATAAAATTTTGATTACTAATGTAGTGTGAAGAATAAAGCTAGAGTTCCAAGTCCTAACTTATTTAGAATATAAGCATTTCTTAAAGTTTTTCTTTTTCAATGTAAAGAATTTTTCTTCTAAACTGGCTTTCATTTGGTTCAGGTTCAATGACTATCCATGCTGAAATTTCTTTAGCTTTCTCAGCTATTGTTAATGATGTACAAATTTCTATTTTAAGAAAAGATTTGAGATACTATAAAGGTTCTCCAAGGAGACATATAGTCATTATTTGCCTGATAAATGGTCAGTTTGTAAAAGTAAATGACCAGTCCCTACATTATTCACAAATAGTCACTTATAAGTTCTCTCAAGTGATAGGAAATTTTAAATTTAATTCAACACAAAGACATGAATGATTTTTAAAACATTTTATTATCTGCTAATGATACTTATTTTTAGTTACAGAATTTACTAAGTGATTGTAGGCACAAATCATTGTGTTCTTGAGTTATTCCTAAAAACAACCGAAGTATCCACTTCGGTTCTCTCATTTTCTGAATTTTTTAATCCTGAAAAAATATAGCAAAAGAACAATTAACATATTTTACAAACAGTCCTAGTGAATACTATTTACAATAATAAGTCATGGCTTCAGTTTTGTAAAACAATGTACAATCATTGAGTTTGATTCTGTAATTTCTGAAGTTCCTCATCTTGCTACTAAATAGAAGTTCCTTATGTTCAAGCCTCTAAGACATATTATTTAATGATATAATAGTAGCTGCCATTTTGCATCAAGTGTTGCCTGCTATAATCTCTTTACTTTATTTCATTTTCCATAAGGCAACTCTAGGCAATCATCATTATTTTTTCTCTAATTTTAAACAGGAAAGTACTGAGTTTAAAAAGTTCATACTACCTCCCCAAAGTCACCTTTCCACAAACAGTTTGGGCAAGATAAAAACTCATGATCACATCCACAGTGTTAATCATTAATAAAGACACAAATAAACCCCCTTTGCATGCAAACAGAGAACATGTACCTTAATCTAGGATAATCACGATAGCTACCAGGTTATTCAATTCTAGTCAATTTCTAAGAGTTCTATCTCATTTCATAAACAGGCTTACAATTGTGAAGACATGCATGTCAGTATTTTTATAAGGAAACTGTGGCAATAATATTTAGAGTTAAAAGTTATCTGTTTTTTCCTTTCCCTGTTTTAAAGAAGGGAATCACCCCCAAAATAGAAGTAACTTGGTACCCTACCACAACTTTCTTTTTTTGATTGAAAAGCTAGGACTAGAATCTAGGTCACTCCTGCCTCACTTCTCTTTGATTCTTAGTAGCAAATCATTAATAGCATTTAGCACATTTGAATCCATGTGCATAGTATAATCACATCATTTCATGTATATAACCAATATTGTGTGCATAAGGATCATTTCATTAACTATTCTCACTTGTTTGTAGGAGCTTTCTGTAACACGGTTGCATTTAATGCTAAATTGTGACAACCTCTTGTCAAACACTCAGTCTGTGGAGTCCTAGTACTGAAGAAGAACCTAATAGTCTCACTAATTTAGCCACTTTCAAGTTGAATGATCACTTTAGACAGGCAATTTTCCTGTATGTCCTGAAAGATAGTTCCCATCTACTTCTTGCAGCTTGTTCAAATATTTGTTCTCTTCCTTCTCAAAAATTACTCCTTTTGTATCCTTCCTGTAGTTTAAGCCTATTCAAACTAGTCAAATGCTAGAAAAATGATATTGACCTGTTCTGTTACTCTTAAATGGTTACATTCAGTAATGCATATTCTGGTGATAATTCAATGATTAGAATTTAAATTTACCACAAAATCCACGGTGTTAATTACCAAGACATGTCAACAAATCATTTGTGAAAAAGAAGGAAAAAGATACAGTGTATGCTTGGACTAACAGAAGCAAAGACCTATAGTGTCTGCAACTCTGGGGTATGATTTGTTTTGAAACTCAGAACTCTGGGGCCAATTCTGTGCAATCGCTTTCCTAGGATTTGTCTTTTTCTGGCTTCAAGGTATACTCACCACTTCTTCCCGCTTGGTCTTGTCTGTCGCTGGCCAAGCTTCCAGAGGCAGCTCAGGAAGAATGGGGGACAGGGGCTGCATGGAGAACAGTGGAGGCAGAGGTGGCTGTGGTGCCAGGGGCTGCATGGGGTGCAGAGGTGACTGGGGCTGCATGGGCTGATGAGACTGGGGTGGGATGGCTTGGGGCTGGAAGGGCTGCTGGAAGGGCTGCTGGGCAGATGGAGGGATGTTTGGCTGATGGTGTTGGGTTGGAGTCATGGAGTGGTGGCCAGGAACTGGCATCATTGGTTGCTGGGGGGCCACTGGCTGTTGAGCTGGCACCACTGGGAGGTGGTGATGAGGCTGAAGGGTGTGACTCGGGGGATGCTGTTGAGACAGCACAGGGATGATTTGGTGGTGCAGCCATCCACCCATGGGTTCGTAACCATAGGAAGGATACTGGTGAAAAACAAAGAGTCAGGTTTACCATTGGCTCAGTTGATTTCTAACTGGAGAAGTAGCAGTAGTGTTTGTTATTATGACCTTATGAATATTTTAGTCATTTTTTCCTTTGCAAGAATTTCTAACAGTGTACACAGATATGACCTTTTACAAACTAAAATTCCCATTAGTGTTTGTAGATGGAGTAGACATGATATTTCAGTTAAAAAGGGAATTAAAATGCATGCGTATTCTCTAAAGGGAATGAAGAACAAAATGTTTACATACCGGCTGCCTTATCATGCTCTGGTACCACTTCAAAGGGGTAAGCACCTTAAGAGAAAGAGACATTAGAATGCATTTGATTACGTTTAACTACATAAGAACTAAATACTAAACTCACTAATGCAGTATGAAATATAGACTCACTAATGCAGTCCTGTCAGTATTGATAGCCTGAGAATGTGACTTCTACAAAAGAAAGAAGAAGGTAAACATTTGTTGGATGTTTCCTATGTGTCAGGTACTGTGTTATATCCATCCCATCCACTTTTCATGTTTTCTCACATGATCTGAGGCAGGTATCACCCTCACTTTTATAGGTAATGTTATGAAAACTCAGGTAGGTTCATTCACTTAGCTGAAGTTACAAAAGTAGTAATTCGATTTAATTCCACAGTTCCTGCTCTTCATTGAAAGAGCAAAACAAACAATTAAAAATTTATGACCCAGCAATATGATATAATATTCATTTGATTCTTTCTTATTTGATATCACAATGGAGAAAGAAGGTGGAAGCCTTGCCTTTCATCCTTAAGGCATAGATTTCTTGATGAAATATATCAACATTTCAAGATAAAACAGTAAAATTTGCCTCAGATTCCTACTAGCAATTTTCTTCAGTTTATGAGTAAACAGATTCATATCTTTATCTGAACCTGTGAGATAAATAAAGGATTTCATCCCTCTCTAGACAGTATTGCCTTATTAGTTAGACTCAGATTCATAACTCTCTTGTATGGCACATCATTTAATCAATACAACAAAAAATTATTAACCTCACCCAAGTTATGAGTGGCATAGCTCTTTCCATGCCCTTTACTATTCTCCAAATCATATTTCTGAAATGTAGTTATCATTGTCTCCCTTCTCTAGATGAAGAAACCAAAGTTCCATGGGGAAAAATATATCTTCCCAAGGTTATAGAATTTGCATGCCTTTGAGGAAACCCCCAAACCCTGTTTTTAGAACTCGTCTGCTTTCCGTCACTCTGAAGAGAGTCTTTGAAACCACTTCTCATTGACCGCTTAGTAGAGCCCATGAGAAATGCACACGGCATGTGGATGTCCTTGAATCAGCAATTCTTTTCCAGCTAGAAAAGATTTTAACATCTTACTTACTCCTCGAATTTTATAGGCTGGCATAGAACAAGACTGTTGAAGCCGAGTTCAGTTTCTGCCCTATCATGGAGCCTTCCTGAGTGGTAGTTCATGGTGGATACATTTAAAACTAGGTTTAAAAGTAGAGGCTGAGTCAGAGTGACCAGGTGGAAGGGTGCTGGGAAATGCAGATTTGAGGCCATCAGTCGGGGCTTAAAGCTGCTGGTGGGAACTGAAAAAGTGTGACCGTTTGAGAAACATCTTGAATGAAGAATCAATACACCACTCTTTACAGATCTCAGGACATCGTTAACTCAAACAATGGTCAAAATTAGTAAATAGAAAAATTACCTCATAGCTTAAGTTGATATAACCAGGGCTCCCGGGATGAGGTGGTAGCTTTTTTAGAAAGGGAAGAGGGCAGATTGAAAGAAAAAAGGGGGGAGAAACAAAGAAAAAGGAGAAAGAGGAAGAGAAAGAAAGAAAGTCAATATTAATTGTTCATATTAAGGTTGTCTAAAGCTTTATTTTTTTAAAAAAAGTATATATATATATATATATATATATATATATATATATATATATAGTACAGAATGTATTTGAGGTCTACTTCTAGCCTGAGCATGTATACTGTGGTGGAGAAGCCTTCTCATTTTAAAGAGGCTCTGATTAGCTAAATGACTTTCCCAGGGGTCATAGTCTTTTAGTGGGAGACCTGTAAGCAGAAGGCACCACACATTTTTCCTTCAGGAATCTTTGAATTAAGCTCATCAACCATCAAAGAATCCTACCCCTTTCCAGCCACCCATTTACTTGTTGATCAAACTCCCTCTGTGTTAGGAAAAGAAGTGTATTTCTATTACACCACTTAAAAATAGCAACAAGCAAGGAATTGTTTCAGCAAGGGTCCCTTTAAAGGTCAGCTGGTTAATTGTTGAAGTATCAAAGGGATTCCTAGTAATTAACATGCAAAGTAAATAAATAACACCCTAACAATAGTGTTCAATGTGAGAACAAGATGAGAGTAATAAAATATAAATGTCCTAAATCCATCCCCTGAACAATAAAATAATTAATGTATTGAAGATCAAGGCCAACCGTTTTTATTATTTTATAAATGATTTATGACAGAAATTTAGAAGTTCCAAATAAAAAGCAACCTGAACAATTTTCTAAACCAGAACTGTCTGTGCTTCCCAAAGTGGGGTCAACTGACTAGGGAGTTGTGGTTGGTGGTGGGGGCAGAAGACAGAAAGGTGTGAGCATAAAGCAGAAAATCTCCCTCAGACACAAAGCTACTGAAAGGTCAGTTCAAATCTACTCTTCCAAAATGCTTGTGTTTTGCAGCCCAATTTATCCACTCTCATCTGAATGCAAATGAGCATTAGTTAGGTAACTGTCTTCCCTATTTTATCTTGATATAAGCTCTCTGAGACTGGAGTATTAAAGGGGGTGAATTTATAAATGTCAGTTTCTCAGAGAACGAGGAATCATCAAAATGCAGGATTTAAAGAACACAGAAGCACAAAATCTTGGTCTTTTGTGTGAGAGAAGAGAGGCAGGTATACAAGCTTATTGGCTTCTGTAGTATCGAATATTCTTTATACCACCAAAAATCTTTGCTAGTGTATGTTCTTAGCTTTCTGCCATTATGTACCTGTGTCTGGAGAGTGGGCTAGACTTCCTGGTCTTTGGTACATTTGAACAGTAATGTACAGACCTTATACTATAATTGCTTGGTATCTATGCATTTGGCATAGGCAGTATTCCATAAATGTGCTAAGGTCAAGTCCTACTTAAGGAGTAAATCAATGCACCAAAGTGGGAGGTCCTTGGGGAACAGTGAGGTGGTACAAGTGAAAGTATCAAATATAGAAATGTTACCTCCTTAAGGCAAGAAGAAAATTTAAAACTTGTGAGGAATTGAGTCTTAGAGATTGTTTGGATGTCACATTTGCCTAAGGTTGAGTAAACACTTTCTCTGGAAGCCTTTCAAGGATTCCTTCAAGTAAGATGACTCCTTGTAGAGACGGGCAGTGGTGTTTACAAGTTAATTGTTATGGCAGAGTTCTTTGAGGGTAAAATGCTTGTTAAAGTGTTGAGTGCCTGGCCCCATTTCAGCTGTACTGAGTCACAATCTGTGGCGGAGACTTTCATGATTTTCTTTTTTAAAAGTTCCTTAAGGGTTTCTTCAACACTTAGACACTTGGGGATATTAGATCTTGTGCTGTATGAAACCCTGAAATTCACCAACCATGGGGGCAGATTCATATTTCCAAGCTTGTGAAATTGGATACAATCAGTAGCAGGGGTATTTTACTCACGGGCATAGCAAAAGCTGCTCCCAGGAGGCAGGCAAACAAGATCCAGGTCCCCATTTCTTGATGGTTCTGAAATGTAAATCAACACCAGCCATTTAAAATGTATTTTTATAGGAATAAACATAATTATGTTTCATACATTTATATAGTCCACATTAGTGTATTGCTAATAAAACAGATGGGGTCCTTCTTGATAAAGCACTTCATTCATTTGTGATTCTCATTTTGAACCCATATCATTGCTTCTGTTTCACAATAATGCTAAAGAGGCCTTTCAGTTAAGCTAAAAAGTTATAGGAACACAAGTTATCTACTAAAATGATTTTGTACAGCATTTTTCTGTATATATTCAGCCTATAGATTCATAGGAGGTAAATGATCTATAAATAATGATTAAAAGAACCGGATCAAATAGAAAAGTTGGGGAGATAATCAAAGTGAATGTAATTTTATACTTTTGTAAGAAGACATAAAAATGTTCTTGTTGGCTACAGCTCGCCCACTTGAACAGTGCTACTGTTAAAAACATAAACTAATTATTTGAGAAAATTTTGAGATTAATGGAAGAGTTGGTTTAGGTCCAGATGTCACCATCTGTAGAATTTTATGCAACAATCTCCCATAACACCTTTGAGTTCCAGGTGGGAATCAAAAGATATGGTTAAACCAAAGGGAGGGCAGAGTGCTACCATTTGCTGCTTCTTTAATGGTTCTAAGTGAATTCTACCTAAAAAATTCTGTCTTCAGTCAGTAACATCATCTTTTTGCTTGTCAACAGTGGAATTCTACATATTAATGTCATTGAGACATGAAACAAGAACTGGCCATCCCATAAAATGTACATTGTTTTATGACAACACCATGAAGTTCATGTTTGATATGAATGTAATGGTGCTGGCTATGAAAAGTACGTTGAGATTTTCTACCTTCTAAATCTATTTTTTAACAGAGGTTAAGTTAATTTAAAAAAGCATTTACACTTGATATAATTAAACAAAGCTTTATAAAGAAGTAGGTCATAGCCTGTTAAAGCACTATCCTAATTTAAAAAAGCAAATAAACATTTTGGTGTGAAATATGGCTTTCTAAAAGCTTTGGAATCCTTGACCTAAAACTTAAAGAAATGATGCATTGCTGTACCACAAAGTTGAAAATCCTTTTCAATGATCAGAGATTATAACTTCATTAGGTAAAGCTAAAGAGCCACATATGGTGTGGATGGCACAAAGTAATAGAAATGTGCAATATATTCACACCTTCGAAAGATAAAATTCAGAGAAAAAAATGACCACAATTAAGATGGTAAATTATGAATAAACTCCACATACCTTTGAATGTGTTCTGAGTGAGTTTCTGTCTGAAGCTCAGGGATGCTTGATCCTTTGACTTCTTCCAACTCTGAGCCCCAATTTATATCATCCAGAGCATCTAGAACAGCCAATCAGGTTTCAAAATGAAAAATGTGCTGAGTCTATTGAAAAATCCCTGTATCATGACTTTTTAGATGCTGTGAGCACTGTTACGGTTGCATGTTGTGATTAGTGCATATAGTCTTTCATTACAGGCAATAATAGGTTTGGGAGACTTCTTCAAGTCAGCAAATGAGTTGACTGCATATGCTGAATATTTGAATTCATTTTTAAGGAAGTTCTATTCCATCATCTACTACTCAGTTCTAGCAGTTAACATTGTCCTTTTTTAGAAACCGCTTAAGGTTCTCCAGACTTTTCATATCAAGATGCATAGATTCATATCTCATTCTGGTAAAAATAAATAAATAAATAAATAAATAGATAGATAGATAAATAAATAAATCCAAAGCTCTCTCAGAATTCTACAGTTTCCAATGTTCTTTTTCTGTTTCTATTAAAAATATTTTCTCTGTCCCTTGTGTCCTTTATCACCACTCTGATGTCCACCGAAAGGAGAGACCAATGTCTTTTTTCTTGGCCCTTTCCAGAAAACCACCTGTCCTGCAAACTACTGTGACCTCAAGACTATTACAGTCACAGTGCTTATTCTAATGCACTCCCTGAGGGACAAAGTAAATATTTATCACATGCCAGAGAATGTTCTTGGAAATATACTTGAATACTTAGAAACATGTGTAACAGGAGATATTGCCCTGGTTCTACTACAGAGCCAGTTGGCATTTCTAGTCCAGTGATTCTCAACCTGTGGGTCGCTACCCCTTCACGATTCAGATGACCTTTTCACAAGGGAAGGATGACAACCACTGCTCTAGACTTTTCCAGTATTTACTAAGTCCAGTTTTTCATATTGAAAACTGAAATTGACATCTCTTTTTAAGTGCTTATTAACTGTCCCTTTAGTGGCATTGCCTCTGGGTTTTCACCAATCTTGCCTTTACTTAAACAGTATTAACCAAGTTAGCTATTAAATTTACGAGCATTTTACTCCACTGCCTTAATAAAGAATGGATTGGCTTTACTTTATTCTACAATATGATCATTTAAGATATAAATTTATAACTAATGACAGGGACTAATGGGGTTTGTATCAGTATTAAATGATGTTCAATAAATTGGTGTTATAATTAGACCTTTCAAATACTTACAGTTTTTAAACTTTCACACATATACATATTTTTCTATAGCCACAAATATGCATAACTTCTAGACCCTCCAAATAGTCATAAGAGTATGTAATATATAGTATTCATGACAGTATTGAAATTAGACAATGTTAATCTTGACTCCTGCTTCACCCCAGACTGAGGGAACATTGAGAAATTACCTGGATATGTGAGTCACAGTTTCCTCATGTGTAGGAAGAATACAATAATACAATCTACCTAAGACAATTAGTGTAAAACATAGAGGAGAGACATACACAGGGAAACTGAAAGTTGTTTGTTGCCCATGCCATTCCTATTACCTGGAAAATGGTAAGTGTTTAAATGATACAAATAATACATAAGATCTAAGGTGGGCTAAGGTAAAAGTTTATCTTTGAGAATAAATTAGTAAAGACAACTGAACATCATGATGAAAGGTAGATCATTCAATTTGGAAGAGAAAAATGGCAGAGTAGTAAGTGGAAGGACATAATAAGCCAAATGTTTACCACATAATGAACACAGAATATGACTCTAAAAGTATGTTCAAGGTTTTCACTTTTTTATGAATATGTTTATTGCTGAATCATATATATATATATATATATATATATATCAGATGCAAGACATAGTCTCTCTGAAGGAAGTTATAAATGATAGAGTAAGGAAATGTAGATCATATATTTTCATTCAATCTCCTACTCATTTTATTTAATTACAAGTATTGGGATGCCTGAAAGGATTTGGAACATATTTTCTTTCACAAAATTGTAGATAATAAGAAAGACCTAATTAATAAAGACATTGATGAATTACTCTTGGCCTTACAGCCACATGCAGTGTATCTCATTACTGTTTTTTATCTTTCAAGAATGAAAAAGTGATAGATTTGGTCACAGTGATCCACAGATGTGTTCTTATTATAACACTTATTTTCTGACTAAAGCAATTACTGTGCATTCACTGTGGGTAGCAGTTGGTCAGACAGTGATGGCCAGTTCCATAGAAATGATACAGTTATTTCTGTATATTCCTCTATGTCATGTCCTAAATTATTGGATATTAAAATATGGATTTTTATCTGGAAGTTCCTCCACTAATTTAGCTACCACTCATATAATTATTAAAAATACCAAGTACAACCATGTGTGGTGGCTCATACTTGTATTCTCAGCATTCTAGGAGTTGAGGCAGGAGAATCATCACTGTTTGTAAACAACTTGGTCTACCAGTAAGTTTCAGTACAATTGGGCTACGGAGTGAGAAATTGTCACCAAAGAAATGCACAAGTCCAGTTAAAAATGAAAAAATGATCTACATAGACATTTGTCAAAAAGAAGGAATACAAGTGGTAAGTAAATGCATGGAAAATGCTCACTGTCATTAGCTATCAGGAAAATACAAATCAAAATTATGAGAAGATATTATCTTACCAAAGATAGAATGGCTACTCTCACAAAGATAAGAAGTAACAAAGGCTGTCAAACATTTAAAGAAAAAAAGTGCTACACGCCTTGGCAAAGATATAAATTCTCAATACTCAGCCATCCGAACACTAAAAATAGATCTTTACCATGATCCAGAGATCCATATCTGTGTATACACTCAAAGAACGTGAATTCATTACTTCAAAGGCACATCTGTACTCCCAGGTTTACTGTGGTACTGTTTACAGCACCTAAGATACAGAATCAGCATAGATGCTCATCAACAGATGAATGGATAAATAAAGTGTATATGTACACAATCTTGCTTTATTGTCCTATAATAAAGATGAAATCTTGTCATTTCCAGCAAATGAATATAGAACTAGAAACAAGTTTTCAGAAAATGCTAACTAGCTTGATATGATCATGTAATTCTGAATATCACACTCTCCTCCAAAAATATGCATAATAAACTCAAAATCCACAAAATTACTGAGTGTTTTAGGAAAAAAAATTCAAATTTCAATTAAAATTTTGCCTAAATCCACTTATTTCGTTTTTGCATAAGTTGATTTTGGAAAACACAACTTAACAAAAGTAAATTTGTTTATTTTATATAGAGTGTATAACATTTCCAGAGTAATCCTGTTTCTCTTTCTTTTTGAAGTTGATTATTTGTTATTTTAAATCAGTATTTAAAACAATTTTAAGCATAAGATATTTTCCTGTATGTGATATCTCTGAGACAAGTGTAACAATGTGGATCCCAACTATGTCTCTATTTCTTCCTAGTTTCATTTCACATACCTGTAAGAGCATGTATTTGTGCCGAGTACATATGAACTGCAGGTTATTCTTGTTATTATAGAGAACAAAAAGTGTGTGAATTTATTACTACTTCTAAACACTGTCCTTGGAAGTGATAAGTGAGTAAATTTAAATGCCCTTCTGAATTAAAATAGCTCTTTTGTCGTTTTTGGTAGTTGTTATTCTTTCATTTGATTTGCAGCCCATCACATTTTGCTATTCCCAGGATGGTTATGCTAGCAAGTTTCCCGCTTTAAATTTGCTGGTTCTGATTTATGGTTTGTTGGGAAACCATATGACCAAGTGAGTTAGAGATTTTTATCAACTTAAAGCAAAGGAACACTCTCAGACAACATGATCTGCTCATGGCATTTGGGATCACCTGTGAGAATTGCTCAAGAGATTAATTTTCATAGCATTTGATGGAGATGGTGGCTTCAGGGAGGATATTTTCTATTACTGCTTTGCAATTCTATCTTCTGGCTTACTTCCTGAGTCTCAGTCACTTTTGATTTATGAGAGTGGTCATTGGAAAAGTGAATACTGAGGCCCTTTCATATCAACTACATAGTACCTCATTTCTCAAGCCTTCTCTTAAAGCAGACTCAGAATTGACTAATATTCTAGAACCATCCCAAGACTAACTACTTTTGGGTAATTAAAACTAAAGTTAGCTTTTTAATTATTTAGTTATACAAAGAGGACCCTAAGAGAAGCATACATGGATCTACTGTATATGAAAAGTTGAAAAAGACAAGATCTCCTGAGTAAATTTGGAGCATGGGGACCTTGGGGGAGGGTAGAAGGGGAGCAGAGAAGAATGGAGGGGAGCGGAGAAAAATGTATAGCTTAATAAAAACAATAAAAAAGAAAATTATCTGGTTGTAGAATTCATTCATAAGGAAATTTCCATATGGATAGAGGAAAATTTCACAAGACTCCACACCTAAGTGAAGAGCTACAATGACAATGACTGTTAAAGAAAGAAAACCAGTACTTTTTTCTCCTGTCTAAAAAAGCATAAGCCCAGTCCTAAGGAGTCAGCCCTAAAGTCATGAAAATACTGGACTAATATAGTCACGAACTCAAAAGTATGTGGTTGGGGGAACACAGAGTTGGAAGAGGGATTGGGTGGAAAAGATCCAAATACAATATACTCATATAAGAAATTCTCAAAAATTATTTTTCTAAGAAACTAGAAAATACCATTTGCTAAGATGAATATTTTCTGAAATATAGAGTCCAAACTTTGGCATGTCACCACTTATTGATTCTGATAGACACTGATTACTCTTGACCCATTGAAACCCTTGAAATGTACTGTGTCTTATACTTCCTTTGAGGTACTTTCAGTAACATATAGAAAGTAGGTGATAGATGGTTGATTGGTAAAAATGTCAAAATTATTCATGATATTGTGAAAATATAGAAAATTGTGTTGTTTAGTGTGAATTCCTCATAGGCAAAGACTGCAGTAATTTAGGTGAAATACTTGACTCACTAGGAAAGACCTCCTTCTCCAAAGCCCTTTCTCCCTTCTTCCCTTCTTCCCTTCCTCCCTTCTTCCCT